CAGGCTCCATGAAGCGGTAAGATATTGGAGTGATTCAGTTTGTACCATATTTCAATCTCTCGGCGGAACTCTTTGATTTCTTCTTCGCCATATTTGGCCAAGAGCTGTTTGATAGCAACGTCCGAGCCGAAATAGGTGGCAGTGTAAACCTCCCCAAACCCTCCCTGAGCAATTGGTTCGTCCGAGCGATTGGTTATTGAGTTTGGAGCTATACGCCAGGTCTCTTTGACAACTGAACGAGCCACTCGAGATTCGCTTTGTAGCATATGGAGGAGTGGTACCACCACCGATTGAATAATTCCTTTGGCGACCTCACCATCCTCTATTAAGGCATGGAGGCTGTGCGTAACCCGCCGAACTTGCCACTGTTTCTGATTTTCGAGCGAGATTCCGATCTTGGTAAGAGCTGCTTGGTCATTTTGATCGAGTAAACTGGCTATGTTGGTGATAAAGCGGTGATGTTGTGCCTCATCTTCTTGAATTGCCTGTCTCAAGTCCGTCTGATCAACCATACTAGTGTCGGTGGCGTGTGCGAGTGCTGATGCAGCACTTTGCCTTAGTGCATCAAGCTCTTGGATAAATTTGATGATTCTCTTGCGTACAAGCTGAGCCTTGAGCGTTTTTTCGACCTTGAGCCAATTACCGACTTCATCAATATAGTACCGACGTACTTGACAATGAAAATTTTCAAAACAACTGACTTGGTTATCGAAAACAAGTAGGTCGGACTGAAACTGAGAAAGGGTCTGAAGTATTTCATACGAATGGTTCACGAAGACTGTCCAAGACCTTTGATTTTCTTCATCTTGTTGGATGATCGAGAAAAGCACTCGAGCTGATTGTAACGTCTCACGAAAAAGATCGCTACAGCAGTTCCGAAGAAGGACAGCTATACCAGCCACGACAGCAGTTATCTCCAACATCGATGGTCTCAAGTTTTGATAATGATACAGTGGTAAATTATTTGGGATTGAAACTGGGGGGGGGGAGAGTCCTAAGACCAAAGCGGACAGGGTCTGGTGTGTGGGTAACAAAATCAGGAGGAATCCTAACGAGGGAAGCAAGAGCACGAGAGAGAGAGGGCGTATGAGGGCAAAGAGACGAAGACAGAGAGCGAGACGAAAAGAGAGGCGAAAGAGAGACGAAAAGAGAGACGGAAAGAGAGTGACTCAGTGTAGAGATTTTGACCGATCAACCGATGTGGCGGGGGACTTGACCTCGTTTTGAGCAACATTTTCTTTTGGGGGGGGGGAGGATAAAGAATCGGACGGCTCCCGGTCAGTCCAAGCCACACGGCAAATTGTCACGAGGGGACACCTTGGTTTCAGGCCACAGATTGGAGGACCAATCGGATTTTGTGCTTGCTGTGCTCCTCTCGAGCAGATGACCTGCCTGGGTATTTCCAATTCCGGATTATCCTGCATTACTTGTGTACGCTGCACGCCAATCAGAGGTCAAGTTTACCATCGCTATCCTGGGGAGTTTTTTTGTTTGTTTGTTTTGTTTTTGTTTTTGTTTCAATAGCGCCGTTGTCCTGGTGTATGCTTACCGCAAAAGCGCACGGTGTGGGCGCAGGCGTAAATAGATTTAATTGGTTGACTGGCGTGCACGTGTGTCATACGAACATGAAACCTACCACGGACCACATGGTCACCCGATTGCTGAGCAAAATGGCCGCCAATCGCGGACAGGCTCCACCATTCTGTAACGCTTCCCCAAACCAGCCCATCGCAAGCATGTGGCGGTCATTTGGGCCACTCGCAATATTACGTCTATCCAACTTGGGGTGGTCTTCGCGAGATGACGCGCTCCAACTGAAACCCGTGGTGTTACGAGCTTGGAAGACCAAGCAACCTCGCTACACTCACAAAAGAGCGAAACGACCAAAAAGGCATCGGCCTCATCGTTGTGTAATTGTGGTGGCTTAAGCTTGTTAGGCTTGCTGGGTTGCTAGGCTTTACCCGTATTCTGCATAAATAGCCATCGCCACCTCCCGTCGTCTACGCGGGCCAGGAGTCAGCCCGTAGACGACGAGCAGCCACGATCTACATCGTTGGCTTTCCCTCATACCAATCGCCTGGACTGCCTATACCTGTGGTTTGGCTCACTTGCTGAGTGTATTGATCTCTCGAGGTATAGAAAAGCGACTATCTTCTGGGATTTCTGATGGATGCTATTTCTTGGGACGCATCGCGAATTTTGTCTAGCTCTACTGGCTCGCACAACTTACACCTTGCTTAACAACAAAAAAAGAATGAGAACTATTCTACTTGTTGGAAAAACTGGCCTTGGAAAGACGACCTTTACCAATTATCTGACTGGCGCCAATAATCGAACTGGTGGTGGCGGAATCAGTGTCACCACAGATCCGGAAGAAACCGTTTTCTTGTATAATGGCATCAATTGTCGCGTTGTCGATATGCCGGGTTTCAGTGATGTGAGAAAGGATGGCCAGAAGGCCATCAACGACTCCACCATACACCGATGGATTCTCGAGCAAGTTAGCAAGAGTGAAGTTGTTGGCGTTGTCATGTTTGTCACTCAAGATGACGTGCTGAACTCTCGACTTAGTAGAGAAGTCATCGCCCTCATGGAAATCATGACTACTCGATTTGTTGGATACGAATCCATGTGCTTCTATGCTATTTCTGGTCGAAGCATGCCTGGAGATATGCATGAATTTATCCGCATGTCTCTGGGTGTCGTTGCTTCCGGAAAGCTCCGCGTTATGGGCTTGAGTTCCGACAACTGGGCTCGCTGCAAGAACAAGGACTTTTCCAGGGTCAAAAGCTGGTGTTTGCAGAGGCTCCAGAGCCCTGAGCCACGCCTCGTTCCCAGAGTAACCACAGACACCTGCAAGCGCTGTGGAATCAAGGCCGACCCCCTCATCGAAATTAGTCAATGCCAATATCATGGTTCTTCTGGGTCGCTCATCCATGGCAACAAAACTCACAAAAAACATCGCCTTCCTGTTTCAAACGCCCATTTCGGAACTTGGAGAACTGATCCCACAAACATGTGTCGCGGACCCTGGTCCTGCTGTGGCTCAAGAAAAAAAGAAAGCCCTTGCAGATATATGACATATCCATGCTGTCGACAAGCGTCTGATGATGCTGGATGTCTTGAAATCTGCAACAATTGCGAAAGACAAGTCACCACAGAGGGGTGCCAAGGAAGCTGCCGAAATTGTGAAAAACCCATGGTTCATCAAGGTTGCCAGAGAGAACCATCTCATTCATGGAAGGGAGAGATTGTCCCATTTAAAATCAATATCGAGGAAAGTCAAGACCTCCCTGTGATTGATGAAGAGGATTTTGAACGATTCTACGATGACTATGGTGAAACGGAAGGGGCTGATATGTATGCTCACGCAACCTTTATGTTCGGCGAATTCGCTCGAAAAGTGGTCTCTGGATTTTCCTCTCGGCGCTGAATGAGGAGAATGAAGTGAATTCCAAATGAATGGACCAATCATCCTTTGAATAGGAAAGTTCAACCCTTAGCCTTCCGCACCCTTTGCAAATATGTCATAGGCGCAACTTTTTGCATCTCATGCCTTGAGTTTATGGTCTTTTTCTTTCTCTACCCAACTTCTCCCTTTGTGCGACCGGCTTCCGTTGGCAAAATTGGTCACCTACTTGATCGGTCGCCTCAAACCGAAACTTACGCCCTTATCACACTGAGGTCGGCCATTATTTCGGCCTTGCCAAGTTAAAGCTTATCCGCTGAAAGTCCTGTTTGCTTGCAAGGATCCTTGTTAGCCCACTTAACAGCTCTCCTACAGAGATTTTAAATCGGAGCCCTAAGTGAATCAGCACAAATAAAGACGATCAATATCCCTGATTTTCCTGTTTTCAGATCTTGATTGAGATATTTAGTTCTGGTCTGTTTGATTTATGTGATGAAATAATGGAATAGCTTCGGAATCAATTGGTTGATATATTTCTTCATTTTCAGTGATCACTATGTTGGGAGTATTAATCTTGATATGATCGATCTCTTGGCAATGGCGTTCACCATTACAGCGAGTCAAGTGGCAATAACATCAGGCAAAGCTTCCGGAAAGAAGTTCACAACAGCTTCTTTCATAATCCGGTCCAAGTTTTAGCCTCTCTCAGTTTTCGAATCCGATTCAAGGACCATTCTTGAATTGCCCCCCCCCAAATTGTGACTTCACAACCAGAATCCTTACACCACGCAAAATTTAGTCCGAAATTGGATATTTTTCTGGGTAGAGAAGAAATAATATAGAATATTCAAAAAAGCGGATGCCAATATCATTTTTGTGCCGCCGCTCAATGAACATATTGCAAATTTACCGATATTATGCTTAGTATCATCATGAACCACCTTGGAAGTTGGACGAAGATCAATTGTTGTATCATCCTAAATCGTATGATTCCCTTGCGTTCGTACTGTTGCCCCCTATCAAAACCCACCTTTTCGCCTGTGTTATTCGAGTTACCGATGGCGAGACTTGTATTACGACGATCGTCCATGCTGCTAGCTCCAACCCGGAATCTGCCTTCGGATTGGTGGTTAAAAATCTCTATGTCGGGAATCAAGTCCCGCCGGAGGCTCGTGATTATGGACGTATCCAAGATGAGAGGGAGTGAGGGTTCACAACACCCATCTCGATATGATGTAGTGAACCCTATTACAATCCATATCGAAGCGCGTGGCTCGCTGCTCGAGGAACAGGGGTCATTTACAAATTGGTAAATCGAGGAAGAAATTCGGCAAGGCGACGTTACGAGGACGATAGGATTGACGACGGCATCTAAGCCAGGTCGAAAGGTGAGGGCAGTGGTATTCATATGCGGGGCCTTAATGACCCTATGGCGCATGGCATTCATGTGGGCCATTTGAAATTTCCTCTTTTTTTTTGCTTTTCCTTCAGTGTCTATGGCATTTGAACTATTTTATTGACTATCTATAGTGAAAGATTGACACTGCAGGAGCGGATTGTGAGCAGCATTGGAAAGAAGTAGGGAAAAGGCGTGGATTACGCGCAGCTTGCGAGTGTGTGGTGCGTTGAGTGACTGATTCAAGTCTCATGAAAGCTCGTTTGAGGTCAAGGTCAAGGTAATTTCTAGTGCTTTGGCCCTAAGCTAGGTTGGAAAAAGGCAGCCTGTGTATCATGCAATGGAAAGGAAGGGAGGTTTGTTGGCCATTGGTACCATGGTAGCCTAGGAACGGCCTTGCTCATGATCGCATAGGAAAATCTCAATGATGATGGCAGTACAGTTGTCATTTTACCTGATATTAGTACTTGGAAGCAGATCCTTCATCTGTGAACAGGCTAGGGTGTTTCTTTCGAAATAGACTTTTGGATACAAGCGATGGACCATTTACCAATGGCACCTCTATCATTTATTATGAGATCCAGTGAAACTGATCAATCAATAGCAATATCGAATATCTAAAAATGCGATTATGTGGCTCAAGATGAATTAACAATTTCACCAAACAATTGATACATCGACTGATGGTCTGTGGCCGATATACGATCAAGCCTATCGCTCCATTCAGAAACATCTTTTTCTTGAATGTCGATGGCACTGATATGTTTGGTCAAAACAGCATGATTTTGATCCAAGCCAAGGGCCCAATCATGCTTGTCTTTTGTTAGACAGCCAATATGGATCAACTGATTCGAACAGTTGCGACATGTGGGCTTGCAGCCCACTTGTTTCGTCTCTCGACCACAGGTTGAGCAGTATTCTGCGCAGCCATAGCTAGAAGATGATCCATTACAGCATCTGAACTTGCCGTAGCAACTGGATGAGATATATCTCTTTCCACAGCATGTCCATTCCCCCTTTCGAAACACTCGACCTATCCAGCGCCCTTCATGGGAAGTGGATATGGTAAAACGGTGCTGCAGTTGAGTTGCTCCATAGTGTATCATCTTCCCAGGTTCTCCGTGATGTCGGCATTGACTAATTTCGATGAGGGGGTCGGCCTTGATTCCACAGCGCTTGCAGGTGTCTGTGGTTACTCTGGGAACGAGGCGTGGCTCAGGGCTCTGGAGCCTCTGCAAACACCAGCTTTTGACCCTGGAAAAGTCCTTGTTCTTGCAGCGAGCCCAGTTGTCGGAACTCAAGCCCATAACGCGGAGCTTTCCGGAAGCAACGACACCCAGAGACATGCGGATAAATTCATGCATATCTCCAGGCATGCTTCGACCAGAAATAGCATAGAAGCACATGGATTCGTATCCAACAAATCGAGTAGTCATGATTTCCATGAGGGCGATGACTTCTCTACTAAGTCGAGAGTTCAGCACGTCATCTTGAGTGACAAACATGACAACGCCAACAACTTCACTCTTGCTAACTTGCTCGAGAATCCATCGGTGTATGGTGGAGTCGTTGATGGCCTTCTGGCCATCCTTTCTCACATCACTGAAACCCGGCATATCGACAACGCGACAATTGATGCCATTATACAAGAAAACGGTTTCTTCCGGATCTGTGGTGACACTGATTCCGCCACCACCAGTTCGATTATTGGCGCCAGTCAGATAATTGGTAAAGGTCGTCTTTCCAAGGCCAGTTTTTCCAACAAGTAGAATAGTTCTCATTCTTTTTTTGTTGTTAAGCAAGGTGTAAGTTGTGCGAGCCAGTAGAGCTAGACAAAATTCGCGATGCGTCCCAAGAAATAGCATCCATCAGAAATCCCAGAAGATAGTCGCTTTTCTATACCTCGAGAGATCAATACACTCAGCAAGTGAGCCAAACCACAGGTATAGGCAGTCCAGGCGATTGGTATGAGGGAAAGCCAACGATGTAGATCGTGGCTGCTCGTCGTCTACGGGCTGACTCCTGGCCCGCGTAGACGACGGGAGGTGGCGATGGCTATTTATGCAGAATACGGGTAAAGCCTAGCAACCCAGCAAGCCTAACAAGCTTAAGCCACCACAATTACACAACGATGAGGCCGATGCCTTTTTGGTCGTTTCGCTCTTTTGTGAGTGTAGCGAGGTTGCTTGGTCTTCCAAGCTCGTAACACCACGGGTTTCAGTTGGAGCGCGTCATCTCGCGAAGACCACCCCAAGTTGGATAGACGTAATATTGCGAGTGGCCCAAATGACCGCCACATGCTTGCGATGGGCTGGTTTGGGGAAGCGTTACAGAATGGTGGAGCCTGTCCGCGATTGGCGGCCATTTTGCTCAGCAATCGGGTGACCATGTGGTCCGTGGTAGGTTTCATGTTCGTATGACACACGTGCACGCCAGTCAACCAATTAAATCTATTTACGCCTGCGCCCACACCGTGCGCTTTTGCGGTAAGCATACACCAGGACAACGGCGCTATTGAAACAAAAACAAAAACAAAACAAACAAACAAAAAAACTCCCCAGGATAGCGATGGTAAACTTGACCTCTGATTGGCGTGCAGCGTACACAAGTAATGCAGGATAATCCGGAATTGGAAATACCCAGGCAGGTCATCTGCTCGAGAGGAGCACAGCAAGCACAAAATCCGATTGGTCCTCCAATCTGTGGCCTGAAACCAAGGTGTCCCCTCGTGACAATTTGCCGTGTGGCTTGGACTGACCGGGAGCCGTCCGATTCTTTATCCTCCCCCCCCCCAAAAGAAAATGTTGCTCAAAACGAGGTCAAGTCCCCCGCCACATCGGTTGATCGGTCAAAATCTCTACACTGAGTCACTCTCTTTCCGTCTCTCTTTTCGTCTCTCTTTCGCCTCTCTTTTCGTCTCGCTCTCTGTCTTCGTCTCTTTGCCCTCATACGCCCTCTCTCTCTCGTGCTCTTGCTTCCCTCGTTAGGATTCCTCCTGATTTTGTTACCCACACACCAGACCCTGTCCGCTTTGGTCTTAGGACTCTCCCCCCCCCAGTTTCAATCCCAAATAATTTACCACTGTATCATTATCAAAACTTGAGACCATCGATGTTGGAGATAACTGCTGTCGTGGCTGGTATAGCTGTCCTTCTTCGGAACTGCTGTAGCGATCTTTTTCGTGAGACGTTACAATCAGCTCGAGTGCTTTTCTCGATCATCCAACAAGATGAAGAAAATCAAAGGTCTTGGACAGTCTTCGTGAACCATTCGTATGAAATACTTCAGACCCTTTCTCAGTTTCAGTCCGACCTACTTGTTTTCGATAACCAAGTCAGTTGTTTTGAAAATTTTCATTGTCAAGTACGTCGGTACTATATTGATGAAGTCGGTAATTGGCTCAAGGTCGAAAAAACGCTCAAGGCTCAGCTTGTACGCAAGAGAATCATCAAATTTATCCAAGAGCTTGATGCACTAAGGCAAAGTGCTGCATCAGCACTCGCACACGCCACCGACACTAGTATGGTTGATCAGACGGACTTGAGACAGGCAATTCAAGAAGATGAGGCACAACATCACCGCTTTATCACCAACATAGCCAGTTTACTCGATCAAAATGACCAAGCAGCTCTTACCAAGATCGGAATCTCGCTCGAAAATCAGAAACAGTGGCAAGTTCGGCGGGTTACGCACAGCCTCCATGCCTTAATAGAGGATGGTGAGGTCGCCAAAGGAATTATTCAATCGGTGGTGGTACCACTCCTCCATATGCTACAAAGCGAATCTCGAGTGGCTCGTTCAGTTGTCAAAGAGACCTGGCGTATAGCTCCAAACTCAATAACCAATCGCTCGGACGAACCAATTGCTCAGGGAGGGTTTGGGGAGGTTTACACTGCCACCTATTTCGGCTCGGACGTTGCTATCAAACAGCTCTTGGCCAAATATGGCGAAGAAGAAATCAAAGAGTTCCGCCGAGAGATTGAAATATGGTACAAACTGAATCACTCCAATATCTTACCGCTTCATGGAGCCTGCGATCTTGTCGAGAAACCATTTATGGTATCACCTTTTATGAAGAATGGTACGCTACGGTCATTTGTCTCTGATCCTGCGTGTCGACGGTCCATCTCAGACAAGTTGCGGCTCATGTATCAAGTCGCCTCAGGAATGGCATATCTCCACAGCAACGGTATAATCCATGCCGACCTTAAAAGCGACAACGTCTTTATCGATTCGGGAAACAATGCCGTCATTGCCGACTTTGGTCTAGCAAAAACTAAACGCACATCGATCAGATCTCAAAGATCGCGCACAAATAACTCGATTTGCGGGACCGTCATATATATGGCTCCTGAAATGTTGGACGATGAAGAGCCAACTGGTTCTTCGAGAGAGACAGATGTCTACGCATTTGGAGTCACGTTTTTTGAAATCCTCAAGGATGGTAGAGACACATGGGTAACAAAAGACGGCGGCCCTATGCATCAAATGACAGTCGTTAGACAAGTTTGCAAAGGAAAGAGGCCAAAGAGATTCGATGGTATTCCCGACCAAATATGGAGCCTCGTTGAGTCGTGTTGGCATCAGGATCCCTATCATAGACCAAGTTTTGTGGATATTTTGAGCCAACTGAGCGCGTACAAGTCACCAAACAAATTTGGTCACGATCAAATCTTAGCGTTTACCAATATGATATCAACCACACCCTCCCAACACGCCGAAACAGTACAGACCGAAGGTATTTTGTTGATACCTCAGTTGCCTTCACGTCAACTTCACTCAAGCCTCGACTCGACTCAATCGATCCATTCAAACCGACTAATCTCATCGATTCGACACTATGAAATAAGAGAAAGCATTGGAAACAGCTCGACTTTATTGAGCATAAACCCTGCAGACACATTTGATCAAGCACTTCCGGGGATAACGGCAACTCCCCATCAAGCAGTTCATACATCTGATAGTTTGTGGCTGAACACCAGCGACTGGAGGCCAGAACCCCACAATAATAATCCAACAGACTGCGATCGCAACAAGAAACCAACCTGGGATTTGAATCCATTACCTCGACTTTCAAGGGCACAAGCCAATGAACAAAGCCCCGAACTATACTTTCAAATTGGGTGGGCTTATCTCCTCGGGATCAACGGGGCTCAGAGCGACAACGACGCTGTTTTTTACTTGCAAGAGGTCGTAAATCGGTCGGATGACCCTATACTGAAGCCGATAGCCACCTTCGTGATTGGCTACTGCAGCTACATCGGACGAGGGATAAGACAAGACAAACTGAAAGGGGTGAATATGATGCGAAGCAGTCGGACACAGGAATTTGATCTTGGAGAGTGTATACTGGACTCGGAAACCATCGTTTCCTCAAATTCAGCCGGTGCCCGCAAATTTTTTGATCTCTGTGTCGATGGATCAGAAACGGACTGGCTCTGCAGACATATGACGGCCATATGCTACGTTTGCGGGTACGGGACTCCGAAGAACTATAGCAAAGCCATTGATATGCTCAAAGAGCTCGCAAATCAAGGTGTCTCTGGTAGCCAACTTTGGCTCGGTCGCTCCTTCAGCAGAGGTTGGGGTGTGAATGTCGATCATACCCAAGCTTTCTGGTGGTACTTGAAAGCTGCCGACCAGGGCGATTCCTATGCGCAGAGCATCGTTGGACGATGCTACTCGAATGGTCGTGGTGTTGCCCAAAGCTACTCAAAGGCGATTGAATGGTATCGTAAGTCGGCAGACCAGGAGAACCCACATGGCCAAAATGGTCTGGGTTGGATGTACCGGAACGGTTACGGCCTCGTTCAGGATCACAGAGCGGCTGTATACTGGTACCAAAAATCGGCCGAGCAAGGCGATTCCACCAGTCAAAATAACCTTGGTTGGTGCTACGAATACGGTTATGGGGTCATGAAAAGCAGCCAAACCGCCGCCTACTGGTATCAAAAGTCAGCCGATCAAGGAAATCGCATTGCACAAAACAATTTAAATAATATCACTAAGCGTAACCTCGTTCGCTGATCTGTCTACACAATGCCTGTAAGTTGTGAAAAGACATGTATTAAATCGAACAGCGACTATGGCAGCCTCATACTGTTTATCAAACAGAAATGGAGCTGAGTCAAAATTTAAGAATCTGGTGGAAAACCTGCTTATTAAATAAAAAATTTCTTTCAAATATACCAACAGCCCGTGGTCGATAGTATACTTACACATTTGATGGAAGCTGAACCAACAGAGAATCCGAGGCCAAGGGACGATACTAACTAAACACAGTACAAGACTGCCTCACATCCTCATGTAAAAAAAAAAAAAAAAAAAAAAAAAAAAAAAAAAAAAAAACCTGCAACATCACGAAGAACCGTATCCATAGATATCCTGAAGAATGAAAGTCAGCTCGATGATAAAAACTGGCCGAAATCGAATCGAGTAGGGAGCAGCAAAAAGCTTGTATGCGTGGATATAAGTACGTTGGTTGACAAAATACCCGTGAAAAAAAGGCTCCCAAAATTAGCGATTTACATATATATATGAGTAGAGTAAGATGCGGGCATTCATGATGCTCTTGGGGCCAGAGCTTCCCGCCAACGCTAGTTTAAATAGCTCTGAGCCGAGAGAGAAAGGCTGGCGACTGTGGACTGAGCGGCATG